GAAAGGCCTATGAAGCGGTATATAAGTCTACTACTGCTATTACCTCGGAAGGATGGAAGGCTGAGTCAACCTTTGAGCCGGTGAGATTTGAACAGCCGAACTGCAGAACTGCAGTCAGCTGAAGTAGCCTGCAGTGCTGCATTTAACCACTGCGCCACCTCGGCTCTTTTTTTAAGTGAAGGTACGACGCTAAAGTTAGTTAGTTTATGTTAGTGTATGATTGTTAAATGTTTATACTCTGTATTTTGCTCTGGGAGGTTGGGGGGGGAGGGTTGGAGGGGGTGCGGTGTTGGGATGGAGGGAGAGAAGGGGAAGGGGAAATACTTGTAAAATCTATTAAAACTCTTTAATTAAAAAAAAAAAGAGTTAAATGCCAGGTTTTTCCTTGCCCTGTGTTTGGAAACTAGTTATCTGGCAGCTCTCCAAGCGAGATAAGGTGCGTGTGGATAAACATTCCTCTGAAAGACTGGCAGACTGTGAATGAAAGGAATTCACAGTCACGTCAATAAAAGAGGTTTTGCAGGGATCAGGACTTTGCTTCTTGCTTTCTAAGGAAGCCTGGGTCAGAACACTGCCTTCAGGTTTTTTGGAGAATAGCTTGACTCCCTCTTCTTTGGGGCAGCCCCTCAAATACCGGAAGACTGCTGCTATCATGTCACCCCTAGCCCTTCTCTGCGTTAGACTAGAAATACACTAAGACAGGATACATTCAAAGCTTCAAAGCCAACCTTGAGTCACGCATCGCCACAAGGGTTGGTAAACAGTGGTCCGCCCGCATTCAACTTGGCTTCCCGGGGATTCTCACAACCACAATCCGAGCAAATGCACACACCTGAGTACACGACGTGCGTGTTCCAATAGTCAAACGCAGCGACCCAGGCTTCAAAGTCATGTCCCTTCCATTGGCCCAAGACGTGCACCGAGGAAGCGGATTCGTCCACCGACAGCAAGCTGACTCTTCCTTTGGAATCGCTGCTGACCAGTCGTAGGGGGTGGCCACTGCAGAGGCAACAGCATGGAATAGTTAAAAAACCAAAACAAAGGCAGTTTCTTTGCTGAAGAAAGCAGGAATGAATGGTAAACAACTTGCTGGCTCTACTACTATCCAGCATCGATCTAGAAAAGAGGGCAGAGAAGAGCAACGAAGAGGATTAGGAGACTGGAGGATAAAACCTATGAAGAACGGTTGCAGGAACTGGGTAGGTCTAGTTTAATGAAAAGAAGGACCAGGGAAGACAGGATAGCAGCCTTCCAATATCTCAGGGGCTGCCCCAAAGAAGAGGGAGTCAAGCTATTATCTAAGGGGCAGGACAAGAAGCAATGGGTGGAAACTAATCAAGGAGAGAAGCAACCTGAAAATAAGGAGGAACTTTCTGACAGTGAGAAACAATCAACCAGTGGAACAGAAATTGCCTTCAGAAGTTGTAGGAGCTTCATCCCTGGAGGCTTTCAAGAAGAGACTGGACTGCCATCTGTCAGAAATGGTGTAGGGTCTCCTGCTTGGGCGAAGGGCTGGACTAGATGACCTCCAAGGTCCCTTCCAACTCTGTTAATCTGTCTGTCTGTCTGTCTGT